CCTCAAAATATACTTATTTTTTTCTTCAACCTTCAGGATGTTGTAACAACTACCAACTAAAAGTTATAGGTCTTCAAGTGTAAGTGTGTGTGTGTGTGTGTGTGTGTTTACATAGCTTCATTCTTGAACATCAACACTTTACCTTCTCTACGAATATTGACAAGATGGGTTCCTCCTGATCTTAGCAATTCGTGCAGTGGACTAATCCTCCTCCAGGCATGCTTTATATTTTGTTTAGCTGGTGTTATTGGAGTGGCCCTCTAGTGGTCTTGATCTTTCTTAATATAATCCATTATTGCACCCAAACAAATACTGACAATATCATTTAAATGACTATGGTCTGCTGCAAATAAAAGGTAAATAAATAGTGAATTGGTTCAGTTATAAAAAATGCAGTGATTCAGGTAATGAATGTATCGGAGATGACCATGAGGAGTTGTTAATGTTTTAGGCAAGAAGCTGCTGTTTTATGTGCTTCTATGTGATAGGTTGCATGTATTGGAGATGAAATTCCAGTCATAAGACTGTATCTTTAACTCAACTTATAGATTCCTCAGTTAATAACTAATTATAAGTTGTAATTTCTTTTTCTGTACGTCTATATACCATATGATAGGAAAATTATCCATTTACATTCGAAAACAATTAACAAAAAAACCCTCATAATTTGTGCAGGTATACATGTCTGTTTAATATGTGTTGAAGACCATTTTCCACTAACCCTTGTTTTCATTTCTGTGCGAGCCAACATTCTTGAGCCAATCAACAACTTCCTTGATGGTTGGTCTCTTGAAAGGATTCTGGCTAATACACATGCAGGCCACATCTAGTACTTGCAGCATCTCGTCATCAAAACCCTTTCCTCTCAGGAGAGGATCAAAGACTTCTTTTTGTTTACCCTCATTTCTCATTTGCTGCACCCAGCCAACCAATTCTCTCGACATCTTTGGCTTGGATACCTCCACAGGCCTCTTCCCAGTCAGCAGTTCAAGCATAACAACTCCAAAACTGTATATATCTCCTCTCAAAGTAGCTACCCATGCTTGCCCATATTCCGGAGGAATATAACCCAAAGTTCCAACAAGTTCGGTTGTAACATGAGTCTGGTAAGGAAGAATCAACCGGGACAATCCAAAATCTGCTACATGTGCTTCGAACTTCTCATCAAGGAGGATGTTGCTAGATTTGATGTCACGATGCACAATATGAGGCTCACATATCTGGTGCATGTAAGCCAGACCAGAACCAGCGCCCCGTGCAATCTTGAGCCTCGTGGGCCAATCCAGGTTGGATGCACCATCAATCTTCTCATGCAACCAATAATCCAAACTCCCATTTTCCATGAAGGAGTATATAAGCAGGCGACATCCCTCGTGCACACAATAGCCTTGCAGGGAAACCAGGATTTCATGTTGAGCTGTGGAAAGAGCCTCCACCTCTGCTCTAAATTCTCTTTCCATCAGACCCAAGTCTCCGGAGAGTTTCTTGACAGCCAGTTTGCTCCCATCTCCTAATGTTGCTTTATACACCAGACCAAAACCCCCACAACCGACAATGTTTGCTTGATTAAAATTGTCAGTGGATTTCAAGAGTTCAGATATGGTTAGATCCTTGATCTCATAAGTATTACTTGGGAACAATACAACTAAACTGGCATCCTTGTCACCCTCGAGAGGAAATCCAGAGTTGATGGAAATTGTATCCAACTCAGTGTTGTCCGTGTCCCCTCCAGGAATGATCCTTCTCTTGGACAATATCCACAGTGCCAGCGCAGCAATAAATAAACCGGTGCCAAAACAGATACCAACAACAAGTCCAATGACGAGTTTTATGTTTGTGCTTCTATGAGGAGCCGAAGAATGGTTGGTTCCTGGTGAACTGGAGCAAGATCGCTGCAAAACCTGACCACACAACCCTGGATTCCCTACAAAGCTGGAACTGGGGAAAGTATCAAACTGACCTCCCGATGGTATAGGTCCATGAAGTTCATTATTGGCAACATTGAACGAAGACAGGAAATGCAGACCTGAGAGTGAAGCGGGGATTTCTCCGGATAAGTCATTTCCTGAGAGATCCAATTTCTCCAAGTTAGTGAGGTTCGATAACTGATCAGGAATGTTCCCGAAGAATCTGTTATCACTGAGATCCAGCACATGAAGGAACTTCAGTTGGCCAATCTGCACAGGGATGTTGCCACTGAGGTTGTTGTTTTTAAGGTATATAGCTGGTGGCAGGCTAGAGAGCTGATTGTACTGCAAATTGGTAGTAGTTGTGGGCTTGACAAACACGGGTAACTCTAGATAACTTCTTTCCACTTGTTTAACAGCCTCTTGCGATGTTAGTGTTTGCAATCCTGCGAGTTCCAGAGGAAATCCTCCTGAAAGAAGGTTATTGGACAAGTCCAAGTAGAAAAGGCTAGGCAGACCACCCAGCCAACCAGGAATTGAACCCCTGATTTGATTGTAAGATAGATCTATGACCTGTAGTCCCCTGATGCTGGCTAGCCAGGAAGGCACTTGACCAGAGAGTTTGCAACGACCTAGAGCCAAAACCTGGAGATTTTGGAATCCAGCTGAATCTAATGTATTTCCATCGTCTAGTATACCTTCACTCATAGTATTATTGGAGAGGATGAGAGCAGTGAGGCTCTTGCAACCCATCAGAATTCGGATAGCCCCAGTAATGTTAGTTAAGTTGTTGGCGGAAATTGAAAGAAAGGACAGAGATTTTAGAGCTGTTATGTCAGGTGAGATCTGCCCCTCTATCTGATTACTGGCAAGTCTAACTGCAACTAGTGATGTGCATGAGTAGAGGCTTGTGGGAAAGATACCTGTAAAGTTGTTGTTACCAAGATCGAGGGTGGTAAGCTTGGGGAGTGTGGAGAAATCGAGGTCAGAGAGATTTCCTGCCAAGAAATTGACTCGCAGATTCAATTTTACTAGATTGGTGCAGTTCATCAGAGATGGAGGCAGAGGACCTGCGAGACTGTTAATGTGAAGCAGCAACTGTTCCAACTTGGAGAGCTTGCCTATGTCCCTTGGTATCCTGCCGGAAAATTTATTGGAGTACAGCTCGAGAACCTTAAGATTAGTGAGATTGACCAAAGCATCACTGACTGGACCAGAGAGGTAGTTGACAGGTAACGAGAAATGTACGAGTGATGTCGCTTTGTACAGATCATCAGGAATCATCCCCGAGAGATTATTGAAACCAGCGCGGAATATCTCAAGTTTGGAACATTCCCCTAGTTCTGGAGTAAGGTTCCCGCTGAAATCATTGCTGGAGAAGTCAAGGAGGGTTATGGAAACAGGAGAAATTTGGCAGACGTTGGAAGGAATTTGGCCTGTGAAGCTGTTATTGCTGACATTAAGTCTTGTCAAATTCCAGGCTGCCCAGAGAAATGAGTTGGAGTGACTTAATTCCCCATCGAAGCGGTTGCTAGACAAGTCTACTATCTTGATAGGGATAAGGTTATTGGTATCAACGGACGGTAATTCACCATCGAGACGGTTGTAGCTGAGATCAAGGACCTGGAGGCCGCTGAGAGAGGAAAAGAATCCAACTGGTAGAGGACCATGCAGGCGATTATGTGATAGATTGAGGTGAGTAAGGCTTGTGAGATTGGCAAGATATGGGGATAGGGTGCCAGTAAGGTCTCTAAAAGGTAGAGAGAGACTGGTTACTCGGCCATCTGCAGTTTCATTGCAATTAACTCCTTCCCAGAGGCAGCAATCAGTGGAGCGATCCCAATTCAAAGGAGATGATAAATAGGAGGAGAAGGACAAGAGAGAGTCGTGATCATCTTGATTGCAGACAGTAGCAGCATGGCAAGGAGACAGTAACGATGCTATTAAAAGATGAAATAAGAACATGACCAAGGAAGAGGACGAAGGGGGCGGTGGTCTTTGAATTATAATGATTTGATATGTCAAGCCTGGCACAGTAGAAAAGCTGTCTTTCTTGACCATTATCTTCACCATCATTCAAGTTTAAGGTACCAAAATAGTGGAACAAGAAAAAGACATAAGGAGGAGGAGGAGGAGGTGGGGGGATGGGGGTGGAGGAGATGATGGAAGAAGAGATGGCAAAGTACATGATTATCCATTCTATCTAGGAGAACTTGTAGGCTTACAAAGATGTGAGATTGCAATCGAACCCCTCATTGACCTAAAGAGAGAGACAGAAATGAAGAGAGTGCGGGCGTGACGTTAGGTCATTTGATATTTTAGTGGCAACTACATGATATAAAATATAAATAAATAAATAAAAGGCTGTATAATTAGATATATGAACCTCAAATGGCGTTTACTTTTGGTGGTGCTGGCTGCGGTGGACTTTTTTTTGGATGATGATTGATTGATGACCACTGACCACAAATCGTGTAAGCTTAAGCGTTCAAAAACTCCATAATCATCTCATGTTGTTCCAGCGCTTATCATGTCTTCCAACTCCACAATTTCTATCGTCTCTCCTCTCAATTGAGTTGTCTTCTTCTTTTTCTTTTTTTATTCTCTACTTCTTTCCCATGCTCCCCAACCCCACTCTCCACTCGTAATATTATGATGTGCTGGGGGCTTGGCGTTGGTTGCAAGGCTGCCATTGCTGCTGATCTTGACAAATACCCTTTAGAATTCTAATACATTTCCTTTCTCGTAGTAACAAAAGGAATCTTAATAGTTAGACTTCTTATTTTTTAATGTTTCTCAGCCAGTCGCTAACAATAGGTGCAAAGTGTTGTCGATTAAAAATTGCCCATTGCCAACCATCGTGTATAATGGTCAGACGAATATATATGGTTTAATTTTCAATAGCACTGGATGCAAAGTGACTTCACAATCTCCGCTTGCCCATCTTCTCTTGAGGTGTGCTTTAAGCATATCTTCCGGAGGGTCTGGCAAAATAGTGTATTTATTACTCTCTCCACCTTGCTTCCCTTAAAGTTGACGCTTGACTTTACAGGTGTAATTTCAGAAGCATAACTTATCATGGAAAACTTAATATTTATCAACATATTGGCATGATGATAATAAAAATGTCAATCTTGATCATCATCATCGTCATTATAACAGGAACAGTAAAACTTTTCCAAGCATTATTCAGCAGTGGTAACGAAATAACATGAAGCCTTGAAGAAAGAAAGGGAAAAGCAAGGAAATTCTTCTCCGCTGCTTGTGTATGAACTGTCATCCGATGAACACATCCATATCATGAACCAAAGATAAGAAACGGAAATATCAAGCAGCTAGAGAACATCCCGTTACGGGTGCGTGTCCACACCCAACAGATTAGTGAAATCAAATTCCATGAGCCCCCTTTCTCTGTTGCAAAACTCTGTCGAAACTAAAAAAGCCTGAAGGATGGGGAAAGAGTGGAGAAATGCTCAGTGAACCATGCATTATTGAGCTCAAATGGTTTTGGTTCCCGAGTCAGGCTTCCTTCTTTTTTATCAGGAAGCAAGATTTTAATTTCCCACAAGCGCATGCTTCTGGATCCAGTCATGCTCCTCTCACCACGAAACCCAGTAGATGGGAAATGAGAAAAGAAAGAAGAACCGACTGCAAACTATAGACACAAAACCTTTTTGAATCTGCACGCTATGGTTGCCAAAATGCTGACGACTATTATGGAGAGAAGAATTGACCCCTCAGCAAATTCTTTCATAAATTTTAAAAATTTCATCCCACAAATTGATATAAAAAAACATGTTTCGGATACATTAAGAAATTATTTGAAACCAGGGTTGGGTTCAACAAACCAAGCGTCAGCAACACCACCCTACGCCACAACTTGATGGTTTAATAAGACGAAAAACACAGTAAATTAAGATGTAATTTCCCAAAAGTCAAGAAAACATTAAACTAAGATGTGATTTTCCAAAAAGTCAGCATAAATAAATCCAAGAATACTTCACCTGCTCTACAGGAATTGAGTACTGCAAATTCTCATTTGTAGTTAGTTATACACCACCATATTGCAAAATATAAAAAGGGATTAAAATTTAGGGTATGATTTGCAGCATCGGAATAGTCATAGATATCATCAAAAGATCTTTCCAGTTTCCACATAATTTACTCTGTCTTGAAAAAGTCATGCTCCTATTTACCATTTCAAACCAGCAATGACAGGGACGTAATTCTTTGTCTTTTTTAAGGAAAAACAAAATGTTTCAAAAGAGCAATTTATAGATAGAAGAGATTACCTTGACATTTTCGCTGTCCCCTAAACTCCAAATAGTTAATTAACTGCAAAATCCGAAAACTATTATTCAAAATGGAGTTAAAAAAAAAAAAAACCTTCTATAAGATTAGATGATGAAACCAAACCTGAATGATAAGGGAGTTTGTTTCTGTCTGTCTGCAAGCATTTGACTGGGAATGGGACACTTCCTCCACCAAGCTCTTATCTGTCTTTTCGCAGAGTTTGGCATTATCTCTTCCTCCTTTCTCAAATGGACTTTGGCATTGAGAAACCCATTTTCATCTACTTTTAGGTGCCCGACGCCATTTGTTTACGAGTCATGAAAAGTCTACAATGTTGCTGATATAAAAAATTTATTTTGCCAAACCTGAACGTGTGAGTAGTAATAGTATATTGGAATGCTATTATTATATAGGTAGGATTACGTTTCCATGTTAATAAAAAATTTACATATATTAACAAAAACTAATAGGCATTGAAAAAAAATACTATAGCTTAAGATTCGAAAACACTATTAATTAATATAATAATAGTTTTGTCATTCACACTACAAAACTTAAAACTAATTAATGAGGGTACTAAAATCTTTTTATATTTTTTTAAATGTAGCATTAGTCATTATTAAATTAGTCAAGAACAAGTAAATTTTTTTCCTTTAAAAAAACAGTAAAACAATCAAAATAATTTTAAATAAAAAAATAAAATAAAATTGAATTCAATGGGTAATGTGGTATTTTCAAAATAATTTTTTTTATTATTATTATCATGTAAGATGAGAGGCAATTTTATATTTTGAATAATATAAAAACTAAAAAAAATTGAAAGTACAATGAAACAATCATAATGTAAAAAAGTAAAAGTAGTGTTAAGGGGTCTTTTTATCTTTTCACAAAAAATCTTTTTGATATTACCATATCAGCTTATAAACAATTTAAAATTTATATATATATATAAAGTTAGGTGTGTGTAGGAGGCACCCATGCACTTTACACCGTATGTACAGCATCTCATAATGGACGAAAGTATCTTTTTTAGAGCAACGCGTATAGATGTTAAGTGGTCGGTTTATTGCCGTGAAACTTTTTTCTCTTTCTCTTTCCTCCCTCTAAAATGACAATTTATTCCTCTTTATACTTGAAATTTCAAATTCAGTCTTTATTTTTTAATTTTTTTTTTGGCTCTTTTCTAAAAGTTTTATTTGTTTTCAATTTTTTTTATCAATTTCAATTTAATATATATTATTTTTTTAATTTAATCCTTATTCTTTTTATTTTTAATTTGATACAAAATGACAGCTTGACTTTTTTGTAAAAGTTTTATTAGCTTTTAATTTTATCCCTCAATATAAATTTATGATATTATATTTTTCAATTTGGTTGTTTTGATTTCTATTTTTTATTACTCTTTTTGTAAAGGTTATATGTTTTCAATTTTATTTGTTAATTCAAATTTATAGTATAATTTTTTACCACTTTGAACCTCATTATTTTTTTTAAGTTACTTTTTTTGTCAATCTCACTCTTTAATCAAAATTTTATTTTTTATGTCAATTAGGATCTTTATTCTTTTGTTAAATTGATTTTTTTTAATTTTATCCTTCAATAAAATATAAAATTTATTTTATATTTCAATTTTGATCCTTATACTTTTAATTTTAATTTTTTTAATTTTATCATTTAATATTTGATTGATTGAAAATTAAACTTCATGATTTTTTTAGTTTAGATAAGGTGCTTCAAGTCTAATTATTTAAGTCACGAGTTGAATTTTTTTTATAAAAAAAAACTTTATAATTATCTTTACCTTTTTAATTGAGTTATTATAATCTCATGATATAGATCATGGGTTTAGCAAGATATTCTGGGTTGGCTTAACTCTAATTATCAAGATTTCATGTTTGTCATACTAACTCGGGTTGATTAGTGTTGATCTTTTATGTTTTTTTTGCTTTATTTTGTTTTTTGTATTTAATGTGAATTAAGATACATCGTTTTTTCTCTTTTAAAAAAATATTTTTTCCCTAAATTATTCTAATCTTTTCTTTTTAAATTTGATCTCTTTGTTATTGTTTTTTTATTTCTCTCGTCTAATTTAAATAAAACTAAATTATTCAATCCAAATCTGAGTAATCTATTTTTTTTCTTTTTTTAAAGCATGCATATGATACTTCAATATTATTTTTTATATAAAAAAATAATTTAACCCACAACAAAGCTCAAGGAGTGGGCTAGCTTGTGCTACGAAGAGAAAGCAATCTTTTGATAAAAAGCTATTATTTTGGAAAAAAACTAGTTTTCGTATTTTCTAAAAAATATATTTTAAATGAAGAAACTAAGAGACTTAAAATGTCATGCTTTTAATTGAGAACATAAATGTCTTAATTTATTCATAACAAAAATAATTATATTTTTGAAAAATCATAAACAAAATGGGAAGGAAACACGGAATTAAAGTTGGACACGAGAGAAGCGCATTTCTCCATGGAATTAGGCTACTTGAAGGAACCGATGGTGAATAAGATCTTAGTTGATATATGGAACATATTATTCGTGGATTGCATTACCATAACCAAGGTTGAAGCTAAAAGAAATTCATGGTGAGGATAGCAGATCATTAATAAGTTTAAGAGACTTTTGTATACTTTGGTTTCAAATACCTTCGAGGAACTTATTTTGTCATTTTTATATATAATGAATGATCACAAGGATTTTCAAAGAGAAGCTTATTTCATGTAGAATATTTTATAAAAAGATATTTTCATAATTTTTTTTGTGTGTGTATTTTATATTTATAAATTTAATTTATTTATTAGATTACATTTCCAATTCATAAAATATAATACAGAGAATAATATATAACCATAAGATCTAACAATTTCAACCACATCATTGCCCCTTCACTACTAAGTTTATGTAACTTCCACCATGACAATATTATAAGCCTCTTTATCTAACATCATGTCCTTTTCACTTAATTATTTTATCATTATCACTATTATTCTTATTGTAACTAATAATTATTATTATAGTGCAATTATTATTATTATCATTGCTCCTATCCTAACAAATTTTATTATCATCCCTATGATTATTGTTTAAATATTATCATAGTTTTTACATTATTATTTATCAAATATCATAAAATTTATTATATATAAAAATGCTTAATGTAAAACAAACCCCACCTAGAAATATAATAGTAAGTCAAAAAAGAAAAAAATTACTAGTAATATTCCCCATATGTTTATAATGAACAATAACTTACTCTTCACATATGCTAAAACTCAAACAAACAAAGAGAGATTTTTTTACAATAATAAGAAACCTTTAGACAACAAATAAATACACGGAGAAACCTGCAATTTTCTGCGATACAAGCACGTAGCTTAGTAAAAAAAAAAAAAAGTTACAAAAAACAAATCAAGGGTGTTCTTGGTTTGCAGATTACTGAGTACCACGCTACCAAAGAAGCATATTATTTTAACCATTAGAGAAGCATATATTTTAATCATATAATAGATATTACAGTGAAAAGAGAAAAGAGTTTGTGATTAAAAAATTTATTTTTTAATAATTTAAAGTTTGAGTTTTATAATTGTTAATATAATAGTTATTAAAAACTTATATAATTATTAATTTTAAAAATTATGAGATTAGTTAAAATATATATAAGATAATTCTAACACTCACATTATTTAAAAAAAAAAAAGAGAAAGAAGAAGAAGTATATGGAAAAAGTTTGGTTGAGAAAAATTAAGAGGGTAAGAATTTAAAACTTAAGTGTTACTGAGTTAAAAAAAAAATGTTAAGGATGTTTATTTTTACAGTTAAAAACTATTTTTAAAATTTTTAAATTATTTTTAATATATTTAGCAATTACTACTATATTAATTTTAAAATGCTTTTAGTTCACCGAAATAATATTTTTTATTTTTAAAAATTATTTTTATATAAAAATAATTTAAAAAATATCAAAACAAATAAAAAAATAATTTTTTAAAAAAATATTTTTAATATTCACAAACAAACAATCGGTAAAATGGAAAATCTTGAAAGAGCAAAGCCCTTAAGTTTCCAAAGTCAGATCTATCCCTGTGTCATTAAGCTTCAGACCTTTTGGTCGCCCTGCCTCGTCTCCGCCATCATGTCCTCACGGCCCTCACCTGAAGTCTTCCACCTACAAAAAGTTCCTGAGTTACAACCAGTCGGTCCGGTCTTTAGGGCCCGATCAACCCGCCATGACCACGCCCCTAGGTCAACTTGCATGGCCCAACCTTCGAGTCCACTAGCGCCGGAGCAATCTCGCGTCTGCGAGCTTTCAGCCTTTGATCTGAACCCCGGGTCGTTAGGTGTCTTTGGAATCCTATGGTTCAAGCTTTAGGTGATTTAAGATTCCATCCGCCGCCGCCGCGGCATGGGAAACAGAAACGTGACGTGTTAAGTTAATGAAGCCACACATAAAATAAGATAAAAGAAGAGCGATGCACAGCCCGCAAACACAAAACTTGTCTTCCCGTACTAGTTTCTCTTGAATTCGAGAACACCCTCAATTCGAAAGTAAAATTCAAAAAAAATAAAAATAAAAATCTAAACAGCTACGGATGGTGAGATAAATAGCTAGAAATAACTAAATATATATTTATTCATGATAATAAAAATATTTATTATTTAAAATAAAATAATTATTTAATTATTTAAACCTTCCACTTCCGCATAGTTAAAATAAAATAATTATTTTTATTCATGAAAGTATAAAATTAATAAATACAAAATTATTTATTTCTTAGTTATGACTTGAGAAAATTGTTATTTTTCTATGAAGCTTATAAAATAAAATAAACATAATATTCAATAAAAATAGAAAAAATAAATTAGCAGTGAGAAAAATTATATTATATGACTTGAGCATAGTTTATAAATAAATATACAATAGGCAGTGCGAAGATATTATTGTGATTAATTATAACATCGTAGCAATCACGTTTCTTCTAAGTTGTCGGACCACGGCTCTTTTACTTTTAGAACATTTGGCTCCTCTTTTGTCCATGACCTGTTTGTGTTTTTCGCTTCTATCACCTGGACTGGAAACAGGCTTACTTTGACTTTGCCATCCTCAGAATTTTTAAAGGAGTCAACAACCTTGCGTACGAATTTGTGCCCTTTTTTTCCGGATATAACTAAGATGATGTCTGAATAGACTTGTAACTACACCCATGTAATTATAAGTTGTAATGGAATCTGGAATTCACGAATTCGGTTGCTGGTGAACTTGTGAATATCACTAATTTGAAGTGCT